GAATTTAGGGGTGAAGGCTCCACAAAGGCACCAGCTTGATCTCTCTATGTTCAATGAGCTGGGTGGATGTTGTCCTTTGGAATGGAGTCCCACTGTGAGTTTGGGGAGAACAGTTGTGTAGGGCCCCAAAAATCATTCCCTGTGGCAAGGACAGGGAATTTTTTTTGGTTTGCTTCTTAGCACTATTTAAAAGTTAAAACTAAGTGAATGTTATAACTTGAGTGTGTGTATATGTGTGTGTGTGTGTGTGTGTGTGTGTGGTAAGCACTTGTCTGTGTGTGCCCGTGGAAGCCAGAGGTCAGCACTGGGTGTCCTTTATCAATCACACTCCACTTTATTTTTATCTTTTGAGAGAGGGTCTCTCACTGAACCTGGAGCTTGCCACTCATGCTGGTTCCTAAGTAGATGCTACACACCGCAAAGCTCTGGTCTCCATAAATTCTTGCATCTCCTTCACTGATCCCTTGGGTCTGCCTGTCTCTGCCCTCAAAGTGCTTTTAGCAATGTACTACCAAGCCATGTTTGTGGTGTGGCCGCTATGGATCTGAACTCCTCCAGTCCTCATGGTTGAACCAACAGCACTTTATTCAACGAGCTTCTCTACAGATCCTAGATATTACCTGGAAAAGTGAATTGACTAAAGATGTATGTTCAGGTCTTAAGACACACAGAAAGTAAAAGAAAAATTGTTTCAGTAAAAAGGTTAAGATTTTGATGCATTTGTATTGTTTACTTTGTTTCTAAGACTTACTGCTCACACACACAGTTGAACACATGCACACATGCACACAGACACACATTCCTTGTTATTCATGCTCAGTCAGCATATGGAGAGGATTTCCTACATTATTAAAACATTTCAGCAAATAGATGCCGGTTGCAGGAACTCCTTGTCACTGACATGTTAACAATCCAGAGACAATGGAAAACCAGAAGAACAACAAAGAACTTTCAAATCCCTTCCCACGTGTGCTCTTTACAACCCTGTGTAGGATGTAGGGTGTAAATATTTCCAACTACTGAGGACCCAGGGCTCAGAGACAGGAAGGAACTTAGAAGCTTGGTCAAGATCACAGGATCTGATGCCACTTACCAGCCATGTGGCCTTGGGGGCAGTTTTTTTTTAAGATTTGTTGATACTGAATCTTACTTCATCTTAGGAGTTCTCCTTAAAAAATTGAACGACAACAAAAAAAAAAAAAAACATCATTGTTGACAATGTTACTAAAACACATGACCCTGTAAAGAAGGTGCTAGGACTTCTCTCTGTATCTTGGGGAGGTACTGTTAGGTGAAAGTCCTTACAGTAAAGCTTCATGGACTCCAAGGAAATCTGGCTCTGTTGGGATAAGGTACTCAGCTAATTTTCATCTGTAAAATGGGTACATGGGCAGTCTTTGACTCAGGGAAATTTTAAGAATTAAATCTCACACTACATTGGAAAGCATTTATAAGCTGCCTGGCACATCATACGTGTGTAATAAATATTATCTGTGATTACTAAACATTGCCCAAAGTCATGTTGTTGTGGCTGGAGTCATTTGGACTGTTTCCTAGAGACTGAATTATTCATGTATGTACTTAAGGAAATTATGCCTTCAAGGCTCTTCTGCCTGGCTCACTCATTCATCTAATAAGCAGGCTTTGGGTTCCTAAGTAGATGCTACACACCGCAAAGCTCTGGTCTCTATAAATTCTTGCATCTCCTTCACGGAAGCACAACACACTTATCCCCTCCTCCATGAAGTCCTCTCAGGACCCAAGGTGGAGTCACTACTTCGCTCATCTGGATCCTCTCTGTGCCCAGTTTGCACAAGAAAAATGACCCAGGGAAGAGTCCTTTCCCCAGGATCTTGCTCATTTTTGTACCAACACTTTTCTCATGCCCAGTCACACTGACTGAAGTGAGCTTGCATCCGTTCATATGGAGACTTGAACTCCTCTGGCCATCTCCTCAGTTTGCAAGATGTGTGTAAAGCAGCCTTTGACACCTCTGGAAACGGAGGCAGCCTGTCTTACTGCTACTTTTGTTTGCTTGCAGGAGATGGCTTGAACCTTTCATATTTTATAGCAGCTGAAATGCTCAATGCCAGCTCATACCTGCAACACTTTTCTCTTGTGGTAATAAAAAACATAATATAGCCACATGAAGAAGTCCTTGGGGAATGTCCTGAACCAGGAAAAGTAGTTAAGCGCTGGGGTCCAACAGGAGCCTGGAAAATCTAACAGAAACTATGGGATTAGGGTGTGTGCTTAAAACCAGAAGTAGGCCCTGCATGATGTACTGATGTCTTGACTTATAAGACATCAGTTGAAAATGAAATTTTCTGAGTTATTTCTATAAAAATATCCAAGGGTCTGAAAACACTCCAGCGCCCAGTACACTGTATTGCATGCAAGCAGAGAGGGGTGGAGGAAAGGCACCAGCTAGTATCTTGTCACCCACAATGAGTTTCCTGCCTCCTGTTCTGTTTGCTTAAGACTGCAAGCTGGATACTGGTCTTTTCATAGTCCACACGGAAGTCCAGCTAGGGGTGGAGACTGGACTTTTCAGAGGTTATCATTGCTATCACATCAGTCACCCTGTAATGCTCTCAGGAACCTCTTCAATGCCGCTGTGTCTCCAGAACACTGATCTTCACAGGCCTCACCAAACAGGCCCCAGTCTGGACTACCTGGTCCTATCAAGAGGGGTCATGAATTCCTAAGGTCAGAGTTTCCACTTTGCTTTCATGTGGGGGAAAAAAAAGTGTGATTTCATCCACCTTTCACAGTTATAAGCAAGTGCGGCTCCCGCTTTCATCCAGCAGGGAAGAGTGACATTAAACATGTCACCTTGGTGAAGCATTGCATTCACCTTCCTGCTAATGAGCCAGAGTCCCTGGGGACTTCTGTGAAGAGCCAAATCCTCCAAATTTTCAGAAGTAACTCATCTGAAATCTTATTACGAGCAGGTTCCAGGGGAATAGAGTTATGGCAGACCAGCAAAAATCTATGGGCAAGCTCCCTACTGCAAGTATCCTGAGGGACCTTCCACCCCGCTCACAGGCACATCATCATAATCTGCTTTCTTCTCTCTCTGTCTCTCTCTCTCTGTCTCTCTCTCTCTGTCTCTCTCTCTGTCTCTGTCTCTCTCTCTCTCTGTCTCTCTCTCTCTCTCTCTTCTTTTTAAAGGAATCTCAGTAGGCCCCAAACAGATGCTAATGTGTTGTGCTGGCAAGGTGAAAATGGTCTTTCCCTAACGGACAAAAGCCCCTCTTTGTCGACTTTTACAAACCAGGGTCTCACACTGTAGCCCAGAATGGCCCAGAACCCACTAACATAGCCCAGGCTGGCCAGGAACTGGTCGAAATTCTCCTGCTTCAGCCTCTCTAGTGCTGGGATGACAGGCTCTTTTGCTTCTTGCTCTCCCCTCTCCCGTCACTCTTTCTAGGCAGGGCGATTTTGCTCCAGTACTCAGTCGAGGCAAGAGCTCTCAAGGGCACTCCTTCCTTATTCCCAAACCAATTTGACTCTGAGTTCATAAGCAAGAATTCCCTACTGAAGCCCCAGGTCCGCGGATTCTACACCACCATCTTCTTACACGCCCTCCCCCGCCGCCCCCACTCCCACCCCTACTCCCGCGCGCTCCCCTCGCAGAACGGCTTCTTTGAAGAAAAACACAGCCCGCTTGGGGGAAGCTGACATAAACATCCTGAGGAAATAGCCACAGTAAAGCGGCTCTTCAGCCTCATTTCCCTAAGGAAACAATCAGCACCTCAGCCCCGAGACAGCTCCAGGTGAGCCCGTAGTAAGCTCAGGTCACCTTCGCGCGCTGCAAAGTACCTACAGGCGCTTGCAGAACTGGCTGCTCCCAACTGCGCAGCCATCTATTGTCACGATTAGTGTTCAAAACCACCCAGGCATTGGGCAGGGGAGGTATTGTGGATAAAAGCCGGAGTCCGGGGGTCCCGCTTCCCTTGTCTGGGTCCCTCAGATCCGCCCTGGGTCCCCAGGGTCGCCCTCAACGGGAGGAGAGGGGACTCTCCAGTAAGCGGGTCTGTGGCGTAGACATGTGGCCTTGGGGTTCTCGCAGGCGTCCAGGAGAACCAGGCGAACCTTGGCAGGACTAGGGAAACCCCGGAGTACTGGCCAAACAGCCTGAGACAGGGCTCAGGGGCGCGGATAAACAGGCGGGCTCCCGGAACAAAGAAGGGAGAAGCGGACGCGCGCTGAGCTCGAAGGGGCGTCCCCCCCCGGCCCCCCCCCCCGGAGGAAGGAGATGCGCCCAGGCCCGAACCCCGCCCCGGCCCGCCCCTCAAAACCGCCTTCCTCCTCTCTTGCGCCTGGAGGCTGTCGGTGGAGGAGCCGGGAGGGGGCGCAGTTCGCCGCGGCCTCCCGCTCGTCCCGTTTTACCCTTCCTCCGCCGCCGCCACCCCCAGCCCGAGAAGCGCACAAAGAGCGCCGGGCCCGAGCACACACCTCCCGGCGGGGCCCGGCCGGGCGGAGGGCGGGGCCCGCGCGCTCGAGGCT